CTATCTTCAATTTGTTCAGTTAAGCTTTGAAAATTAAAGATAGAATCTGATTGGTTGTTGTGCACAGCTGCTCCAAATTTGTCTACTCTCCTTGATGTGTCCCCAGTCAGATACAGACCTCTCTGGGGTGATGGAATCTAATGGCTGACCATTCAGCTCTCCGGAATGTCCATTTTGCTGAAAACTGCACCAAAGATGCTGCAAGCAGGATTTAATTTAAATTCACTAAAACAGAGTTCTGAATGTAGCCTCAGTATTTCAGATCATAAAAAAGTGGGTTGGGAACACATTTCCTGCACCACAAAGATAAAAACAAATGGGATTCTCAGATCACTGACAAAATGAAGTAGGGAGGACTGGTGTAATAAAACAAAGGCTGGAAAACAAAGCCCTGACCAGGTAAGCTGCATTCCCTGTATACAGCCCAAGACAGGATTTGTAACCATGCTTCCTGGTCAAGTGTGAAAAATAGCTCAACAATTGCATTTAATGATCATATACACAAAGAAAACAAATCGAGAACATTTCTGACTGAAATAACATTAAAAAAAAGGAGAACTATGGGGTTAGGGCTTTTCCACATAGTTCTCCTATGGGTCACGGGAGAACACAAACTAGCGTTCTCCCGTGACCCCAAAGCTCAGTATAGGGCGAGCTACCGCTCGCGCTATACTGAGACCGCCGCAGCCGGGATGGATCCCCGACAATACTGTCTGGATCCAACCAGCTGCGGGATTGACAGCTGGCTCGGTCTATCCAGAGGCAGAGTCAGCTGTGCCCACCCCCTCCCATTTCGCCAGTCAGCACTGGAGGATCGGACAGAGGAGGAATCCCTGCAGGGAGCCGTAACAGTCATGGCTCTCTGCAGGGACAGGATCGAGAAGTGAGTGGGCTCCGGTATGTGTTCGCTCACTTCCCGATCTACTGAGCCGACCTGTGGCAGTCACATTGTCACAGGTCGGCTCAGATTATGAGGCTGAGGGAAAAGCACTCACCTCATAATTCTCCTTTAAATTAAAGTAATTGTAAACCCTGAAAGGCCCCTTCACATCAGCAGATGAGCATGAAGGTACATATAACATGTGCCTACTGGTTCACATGAAAAATTGCATTTGTTTTAGTTTTAAACTTTATTAAACTTGACAGTACATTTAACTGAACAGCAACATGTCAAGTGTATAAAGTGATGCATGTGTTCCCTGTAGCTGCCTGGGAATCCTACATCCTTGGCACATATACATCAGGGAGAAGAATGCTAAAACCTGGAAGAGATAGCCGGCCCCCTGATGACAGAGAAACCGCGGCAGTGCGGGTCCAGCTGTGTAGTGGCAGAGTCCTACAGAACACCATTGGATCTCAGGCCATGTCAGGATGGTTTTTCTAAGGGGAGTGAAGTTCTTCTTTGAGGGCCCATTCACACCATGTCCAGACCATATCCCAACCAGAATGTTTTTTTTGTCTGGTCCAAAAACACATCCTCATTCATTCCTACAGTAAAAAGTGAGGCTAGTCCACCGCTCTGCATTCTGTTCCAGAACCTTTAAAAAAAAAAAAACACAACAGCGTGCACTATTTTCTTTGGTCCAGAATGTACTAAAACACATGTAAAAGCATGCAAATGCACTAGAGGTCCAATTGAGACAAATAAAAACCGGAATGCATCGAAAACACACATACCCGCGTTTCCAGAAACACATCCAGATCTGGTCTGTACCCTGTGTGAACAAGCCCTACAGGCCAAGTTTCCTTTTTGTCCCATGTTTCATGTTGAACCAATATTTAGGATGTACCATGCTACATGGTCATATCCACCTATTCCCCTGACTCATCTCGCCACTTATCTGAATTGCGGCTCTTCTCTGAAAATGGTGCAGCTGTGCATGGCTCCTTCAATGACACTTCATACTGAGGTATTCATGAACAGGAGGGACAGTGAGAGTGGATTCAAGGTTGCCACCTGTTCAATAAATCCAATCCGTGAAATTTCCTTGCTACTCCTTACTATTCCACGGTCAACTGTTAGTGGTATTATAACAAAGTGGAAGCAACTAGGAACACCAGCAAGTCAGTCACGAAGTGGTAGGCCATGTAAAATGACAGAGCGGGGTCAGCGCATGCTGAAGCGCACAGTGCACAGAAGTCGCCAACTGTCTGCAGAGTCAATAGCTACAGACCTCCAAACTTCGTGTGGCCTTCAGATTGGCACAACAACAGTGCGTAGAGAGTTTCATGGAATGGGTTTCCATGGGTGAGCAGCTGCATCCAAGCCTTACATCACCAAGTGCAATGCAAAGCGTCGGATGCTGTGGTGTAAAGCACGCCGTCACTGGACTCTAGAGAAGTGGAGACATGTTCTCTGGAGTGACAAATCACACTTCTCTGTCTGGCAATCCGATGGACGTGTCTGGGTTTGGCGGTTGCCAGGAGAACAGTACTTGTCTGACTGCATTGTGCCAAGTGTAAAGTTTGGTGGAGGGGGGATTATGGTGTGGGGTTGTTTTTCAGGGGTTGGGCTTGGCCCCTTAGTTCCAGTGAAGGGAACTCTTAAGGCATCGGCATATCAAGACATTTTGGACAATTTCATGCTCCCAACTTTGTGGGAACAGTTTGGGGATGGCCCCTTCCTGTTCCAACATGACTGCGCACCAGTGCACAAAGCAAGGTCCATAAAGACATGGATGAGCGAGTTTGGGGTGGAGGAACTTGACTGGCCTGCACAGAGTCCTGACCTCAACCCGATAGAACACCTTTGGGATGAATTAGAGCGGAGACTGCGAGCCCGGCCTTCTCCTCCAACATCAGTACCTGACCTCACAAATGGTCCAACACTCCCATAGACACACTCCTAAACCTTGTGGAAGCCTTCCCAGAAGAGTTGACGCTGTTATGGGTGGGCCAACTCAATATTGAACCCTACGGACTGAGACTGGGATGCCATTAAAGTTCATGTGCGTGTAAAGGCAGGCGTCCCAATAATAATAATCCCAATAAGGGAGGCGTCCCAATAATTTTGGAATACATACATACATTTTATTAATGTTTAATTTTTTTGCAAACATCGCACCATGCCATCAAGTAATAGCTCCCCAAATGTGACAGGCAGGGGTTTTCACTCCCTCCCCAATCCATCCTTTATCCAAAGCACACAGAAAAAGAATTTTGGCTATACATGCAAATTAAAGAAGAACTTGAGGGAAAAAAAAAATGATGTATTTTCCCTTGCAGTGGAGCTACCCCCACACTGCAAAGGATCAGTGGTCATATTTTTCTAGGTTGAAAAACAACAAAGTTATACTCACCAGATGCTCTGAGCTGGCTTGTCCTTAGACTGGTCCTTCCAGCATCTCTCTCCCTCTCCTATGGTCTAAGATCCCATAAATTATCACATTCTATTGGGACGCTGAGGAAGATTCCAATGCTGCAAGGTAGGAGGAGACAGGCTGGAGGGAGCATTGTGACCGCTGGCCGGCTCGGAGCTTTGAGTGAGCATAACTATTTAAAGTGACATTAAACCCTCAGATTTTTTTAACATAAACCAATACTGTAATGTGTGCCTTATTGTAATACATGGTTGTTTCCCCTTCTCTTTGCTGCTCTTCCTTTTAAATCTGTATCTCTTCTCATGCTGGGCATAACTTCTGTTTTGCAGTAACTGCCTTGTCTCAGGAATGGATACACGGTGTCTGTGTATACGTTTGTATAGGCTTGTAACCTGAGCCAGCACTACAGGAAGAGGCCCTGAGCTGAAAAGGGAAGTTCTCCCCAAGCATGAGAAGACATGGGGATTTAAAAGGAAGAGCAGCAAAGAGAAGGGAAACAACCATGGATTACATTAAGGCACACATTACAGTATTGGTTTATGTTAAAATAATCTGAGGGTTTAATGTCACTTTAAGCACCTAGACAAAAACGAGCAGGTAGCCCTTGCAGTGTGGGAGAAGCCCCACAGCAACGGTTAATGTTTTTCTGGACTTCTTTACTGAAAGCTAGAGATTAAAATAATGAGTTCTGAAATGACTGACGCGTTAAAGAAGAACTCTGGGCAGTGAAAAAATGAACCCTCACAGTGGGGCTACAGAGTTCACTCCTTCTCTTGGTCTAGGGTGAAGAACCAAAAAAAAAAACTCACCTAGCCCTCCAGCTGTTTTGGAACCACAAGTCTCATGAGGCATTGCAAGTCTGACAGTTACAGACATGACTCCCAGAGGCATGCTGGAAATTGTAGTTAAAGTACAGCTGGAGGGCCAGAGTTGCCTACCTCTGCCTTAGACCAAAACAAGCACTTAAAAGGAGAACTATGGAGGTGAGTGAATTGCGCTCATCAAGAAGTGAGCCAACACATACCACCAATTCCGATCCGCTCACTTCCCGATCATCTCCCTGCAGAGAGCGGTGACTGTCTAGATTGATGGCGGGCTCTGCCTATCAGCCAGCTGTTTGGATCTCAGCAGTATTGTCGGGATCCATCCCGGCTGCGGCACTCTCAGGGTCACGGGAGTACATTAGTAATAAAAAGGGTTACCCCATAGTGCTCTTTTAAGCCTTGCAGTGGAGGGGGTAACCCCACTGCAAGGGTTACATTTTAGCATACCTGGAGTCCTTCTTTAAATCTCACAAAGATGCAACTCATCAGGTTTACATCTACTTCAGGCTCTCACACACACACGATCAACTTTAGATTTAGCACAGCTAATATACATTTAATGTAGCCAACTAGTGCGTATCTACTCAAGTCCTTGCTCTACATCCTCTTGGCAGACCTTAAACGGTTGTACAATCAGATTGCAAAATGGGTGGTGAGTGTTAAATAAAGCACCCCAAGTGGTCATGTGAGGATCCATATAAAAGGAAGCGGAGTCACACAAGGACAGCCATGACATCCTGCATTATAAAGTGAAGTCGAGCCGGTACAGCCACTGACAGCTCCAGTGCAGACACTTCTCTATGATGTCATCATACATATAACCCACACAGACATCCCCCCTCCTCCGAGCTGTCACCTTGTAGTACACATCGAACTGGATGTTTTCAGGCAAGCTGCGGATGTCTCTGCGGGCCCGGCTGTAGTTATCCACCACCGCGGAGATGGCCGTGTTATACAGGGTCTCCGGGATCCACTCCAGCTCCACGGCCGCCATGTTCTGCCGACCCCCCGAGCAGCAAACACTGCCTACCCCGCTCTACGGCCCGGGAACCTCCACCAGCACCGAGCGGCCGTGAGAAGCGACCAATGCAACGTTATGTGCGCGAAGCACTTCCGCCACAGTCCCTTCAAGCTCCAGGCTTAGGCCGCTTCCCCTCCCCGGGACGTGTCATACAGGAGCCCCGCTCTTATTTATTGTAATAGGCGGACATCTAGCTCCCTATGTCGCCCTCATCACAGAACGTGAGCGCAACCCTGGCATGACGTTATCGCGCACTACGGCAAAGCGAGGGGAGGAACCCAGACAAGTCACGTGGTGTCAGATGGTTTGGCAACAGGAAAAACTGTGGATGCGGAGCCGGATGTCTGGTAGTCACATAGTATTGTAATAGGACTCTAAAGCTAAAATCCGGGCAAACGGCTGTCATACACGCAGAGCTACTGTATAACCTGTCATTCCTGTATATCGGGTTATGTCCTTTCACAAAGTCCTGTCCCCTCCATCCCTAATCTGTGACTGGACAGTGAGAGGAGACGCAGCAGACGGATGACCTCATCACTCTGATCTCTCTTCCTATCAGCATGCTCCTTGCACTGATGTTTAACTGATTGGTTCTTGTGCTGCGTCTCCCACCCCCAGTCTATATAAGGACTGCATGAGTTTGCTACCTGGTCAAATTCGGGGACTTGACTGACAGCTGACAATTTGTTGCATGTTTCCTGAAGCACAGCAGCACTCACTACGACGATTTCTGCTATATCTCAACTGAGCTTCTTGATGCTGCTGGACAAGTGAAAAAGTACAAGAGTTCTTATTGCAGGCAGAATCATGCATTTGTTGCCCCATAGACTTTAATAAGGAGCCGCTGAAGTGCTTCCAAATCACCTGGAAACGGCTTAAAGGAGAACTATGAGGTGAGTGCTTTTCACTCACCTCATAGTTCTAGCCGACCTGTGACAATGAGACTGTCACAGGTCGGCTCAGTAGATCGGGAGGTGAGCGAACACATACCGGGTTCCCTCACCTCTCGATCCTGTCACGGCTCTCTGCCATAACAGGGGAGTGGCTGGATTTCCCCCTCCCCGCTCCGATCCGCCAGCGCTGACTGGTGGAATGGACGGGGCGGGTACAGCTGGCTCTGCCTCTAGATAGGCAGAGCCAGCTGTCAGTCACGCAACTGGGCGGATCCCGGCACAATTGTCGGGATCCGCTTCAGCTGCGGCGTCTCAGTATACCGCGAGCTACTGCGGTATACTGAGCCTAGGGTGACGGGAGGACGCTAGTTTGTGTCCTCCCGTTACCCTAAGGAGAACTATGGGGAAAAGCCCTGACCCCATAGTTCTCCTTAACCACTTGCTGTCTGGTGCAATTTCTTACATTTGCACACACATGATAATATCTGAATTTGTGGCTAGAAACCAGCTTCAAACCCCCAAACAATTATATATTTTCTGAAAGCAGAGGCCCTGTAGAGTAAAAAAATGCTAGTTGCAATGTTTTATGTTTCACGTTATTTGAGCAAATGTTTATCAAACCAGTATTTTTAGGAAAAAATACACTAAAATGAACTTTAGTGCACAGAAACAGAATATAATTCCTAATTTTGTGGTGAAATATAAGAGATGGAGTCATGCCGGGTAAATAGATACCAAACGTGTCAAGCCTTAAAATTGCATGCGTCTGTGAAACCGCAAAAAACTACCATACCCAACATTTCCCATAGTCGACGGTTTACATTTGTTTTACTGCTCATCAGTTTAGTGTTAACAGTAATTGATGGCCCTGAAATTATTGCTCTCACTCCCACATTTGTGGCGATGTGTAACGTGTGGTGCAATTTTAATTTTTGCACGTAGGTGCACCTAACACGTGTTTGAGTGTGTACACATGGGGGAGCGGGATTTTTAAAACTTTTTTGCATTTAAAAAAAAAAATGTTTATATGTTACTTTTAATATATATTTTTTTACCCTTACCTTTATTGCTATCACATGGGGGACTAACAAGCCCCCTATGCAATAGAAAATATGATGTGACAGGTCCTCTTTATGGAGACATCAGACCCCTAATGTCACCTAGGGACCCCAAAGAAGCTGATGAAGCAGAGATCTGCTTCACCAGCTTCTTCTTCTGGCTCTAGGAGCCTGAGAATGTGCCCAGTGACACCGGAAGTGATGTAATACACATTACGTCCGGGTCCAATGATCGGAGGTGACATCAGTGGCTAGAAGATTGCTGATCTCACTCCGATCAATGTGGGGAGACCCGCCGGGCAAGGGCCCACATGGGGGGACAGCAGAGCCTGGGGTAGGCAGGGGGAGCACACATTCCGCATCACCATAAGTGCCCATTCACACTGAGCGATAAATCACGCGATTTCAGCCACGATATCGCGCATTTTTGCTGCACTATATCGCGTGAAGTCGCCGGCCAATGATATTCAATGGAGCTGTTCTAATGTACAGCTGCCTGTCGCTTGTGCAGGACCCTTTTTCCCGCAGATGTCGCACAATTTTTCTATTTTTGAATGCAGCCCGACGGTGAAGGTCGTGCGATCGTCGCTGGACCGTCGCTGCAAAGTCGCCCGAACAGTTGCGCTATCCCGCCGCGCAGAAATCTGCTCGAGGTGAGTGTCGCTTAGTGTGAATGGAGCCTACAAGCGATTCAGGGGCTGTATCTAAACAGCCATCGCCGTCTGTTTAAAACGATACCAAGAAGTTCTTGGTATAACTACTTCAGGACAGGACTTTTTTGCGGGTGGGCGGTCCTGAAGTAGTTAAAGCGAATGTATAGTTTCTTGTATATAATGTATTTTAACCATATTTAATTATGGTTAAAACTAGAAAAATGTTTGAAAAAACGTATGGCACACATTCCGTAGTACATGATATGTAGCCCTGTACCCCCTTTTCCACTTACAGAGCTAGGTTATTTTTCTTTTAAATAAATATTAATGTATTTTAATGGTATCTATCTACCAGTAGCTGCCTCATTTCCCACCCTCGGCCTATATTCGGGTCAATACTTTTTCCCAGTTTTTTTGGCTAAAATTAGGTGCCTCGGCTTATATTCGGGACGGCTTATACTCGAGTATATACGGTAGTTATAATTACCTGATTCTCAGAGCCGGCTGGCTGTGAAAGTGCGTCCTCCTCCACTGCAGTGATGGAATGTTCCTCGACGTCCTCACGTTCTATACACAGTGTATTGGACGTGATGACTTAGGAACCTTAAACCTCTGCAGAGGAGTGGGAGAGAGGCTCCAGGGACCAGTCTAAGAGCAAGATGGCTCGGAGGATCAGGTTAATATAACTTTTCTATTTTCAGCCCTAGACCAAAACAAGCAGTTAACCCTTGCAGTGCGGGGGTAGCCCCACAGCAAGGGTTAATAAACCATTTTTCTGGAATCCTTTTTTAAAGCTCAACATCCTATTGAAGACCAGGCAACATATGGTCCATCTGCTAGCCAGAAAAGCCTGTTTTTTAGTTTTCTATTGTTGCTAAGGGCTAGACTTTCCAGACTTGTGAGGAAAGGACAATCGCTGGTACTAAACGTCATCCACCGTCTGTCCAGTAAGACAGCTTTAGGGCCAGTTCCAGAAAACAGTAGGGTCTCTGCCCTGATGAAGGGACCCTATGCGGTCCCGAAACGTTGGATTATGCAATATGTGTGACGTTTAGTCCAAATAAATTTACTTTTTTTTAAATTTCATTTACGGAATGCTGGTGATTTCTGTCGTTCATTAGCTTTAGGGCCAGTTAACACCCGAGGGGTGGTGGCTGCACTGGCCCTCTAGTCCAGTGCATCCCCAATGCCCTGATAGGGCACTAGCCTTGTTTTTAATTGTGTCAGTTCACATCTCCACATTGCGGTGGTGTTCACTGAATAAAGAATTGTATACGTTACTTTTTCAGCACAGTGTGGTGCAAGGTGGTTGTAGAAATGAATGAAATGCCATTTGTAACATTTCAATAAAGTTATTTAAAAAAACGTGCAATGTTCTGGCATTGACGCAGCTGCACTGTTTCACCGTACACCAGAGGCCGTGCTTTTAGTGCTGATTTCTGGTGTAATTCTACCCTAAGTCCCCCACAAGGGCTTATAAGATAGCTAGATGTCAGGTGAGTGGGACTTACCTCTTAGGGGTTAAAAAATGAAACTTGGAAAGCTGAAACCTTAACAAAGAGAAACTAGGATCAAAGAGGTGCACAAAATAAGCTTTCCTGGCTAATAACGGTAAAAGCTAGCACCTTGTGCTGCTCCTAAGCAGGACATTTACTTAAAATTAGAGGTGCACCGAAATGAAAATTTTAAAACGAAACCAAAGATAAAAAAAATGGCAGGCCGAAACCGAAAATAATTTTCTTTTCTAACCTTTTTAAATATTTTATTTTTTATAAACTTTTTTTTATTTTTCTTACATATTTTAATTTTTTTAACTTTACTGTTGGGGGCTTTGGTGAAATATCAGGGGTCTAAACAGACAGTCTCTTTTTCTGCATCCCCTGTTATAAATGAAGAGGAATCCTCTATACTGAGTGTTCCTGCATTCATGCATTGTGGAGATGGTATGTTTACTATGTACATAATTATGAATATACAGGAAGTGATGTAGATAATTTCCTATTGATTCATAACTGGTACATAGTAACTTATACTATGTCCAGTTATGTACAAGCAGTCAGTGATCATTGATCACTGAATGTTTGTACCCGCTCTCCATCCTGACTCGCTGTCACAGGAGGGTAAGCCGGCAGTGTGGTAAGGAGAGCTCGTTCTCCTGTGACAGCTGACTCCTCCCCCTCACTGCCAGCTTGGGCTTCTGTGACAGCGCACGTCACAGAAGCCCTTTAAAAAGTTAAATGAAGATCGGATAATATTTTACGGATTAATCATGCATCAAGGGTTGTTCAGCCACCTACACCTATTCCCATGTCCCAGGCATGAAAATACGCCCACAAATCATGTCTTACGGTCTCATATGCTTGTGTGCGTGAGGCCATAATGTGTCTCATTGCTCCTGTTTAGTGTTACCTTATTGTGCAAAAGAATGATGTATCCTAATCTAGTATTCTAACATAGAATAGGCAAGAAAAAAGAAAGAGGCAGAGCATTGCCTTAGAGCTGCAGGCATGCCCTCCAACCACTTCTTAGAGGACAGTTCATAGGGAGCTGTATAGCCTGACTAATTTGTATTACATTGTCCTCCATGTGTGCCTGCTCCTGAGTTGGGTTGTCCTGTTCCTTTGGCCTCAAAGTGATAGACTTAGGTCTAGTTCACACCTAGGCGTATTGCATATGAGCGTCTGTCGCGCGACCGCCGGACGGTTTTT